CCGGATAAGAGCCATTCCATGATCTAAAATGTCTGATTGCTGATGCTTACTTTACACCATTTCCCTTCTGTCCAGTCTCCCCTAAAATACATTGTAATACCTTTAGCTTCATCAGTGATTGTATGGGCTTGGATCTTGAACTATCATCTAATGCTTTGGACATGCCTTTCAGAATGAAGCTGAAGCATACTGCTTCAGCAAAGTAGGGAAGTGCTGTCAATGCAGGTTTTAGAACAGCATGGTTAATATTAAAACCACTGTGTTTACCTGTCTGGAAGGAGTGGGTGAGGTTCCTTCTATGCAGCCGGTAGGCATAAACACAGAAATGCTTTTTCCACAACCGCTGTCTTTAGAAATGGGTAATGTGGGATATGAGTGTGAATCAGCAGAGCAGAGTGCGTAGGAATTTCACCTGGCCAGCAATCTCCTGCCTTTCTTACTTGTCTTTATTCTTGCAGATATATTTACAGGCATGTCTGCTTTAGGTTGGTTGGGTTTTTTGTTTGTTTGTTTTTGAACTTCGCTGAGTCAAAGAAGGTGCTTTTTATAGTGACACTGAAGATGCCATTGGGCCTCTGACATCAAAGTCATTTGTCCAGACAAACTGCTCTGTTTCCCACTGGTAAATGCCTTCAGGGTCTTGGCTAGTACAAGCCGTCACCTTTTAAAAAGAAAAATTGGAGAAAAGCAGTTGCACAGAACTTATGCAATGAAGATGGCAAGAAAATAATGTTTTGCAGTTGGGTGGCTTCTGAGAGGGACTTGTCCAACACTGCTGGACACCACCCAGCTGCTTCGCTGAGAATGGTGAAGAAGCCAGAAAGGCTGTTGTGCCTGTTGGCATCTCTGTGGCACACGATCTCTTCATTATTATTTCCTTCCAGTAAAAGTACAGTGCTGATACAAAAGTAGTTTTTGCTGATGTGCCAGAATTCAGTGCAGCCCATTGTATTATTTTCTTCATTATCTGTGTTCTCCAAAATCTCTTATCCCTGTTTTAGTGCCCCAAAAGGGCAAACCTTCTCCAAAGCATTGTAGGTTTTGTGCTCAGTCATTTATTTTAGGCTGGTGATACTAAAATACTAAAACTACAAAAAGGCTGCCCATCTCTCTTACTAAATTTGTTAAATAGCCTCCTTAAAATGAATATAGTTCACTTGGAAGGAAGGTCAGTGCACAGAAAATGGTATTAGTGACAAAAATTATTCCTTCTTATTGCATTAAGAGTTTGGCTGGATTTTGCTAGTGCTTGCTTATACTCCTTCAAGCAAAGGGACATGCTTGCCATATTCTCTGTTCTTCAGTGCAGAACAAATAATCATAGGTAGTGTGTCATCTTCTAATGTAAACTGTGTCAGTGTGAAGGCTTGCTGTTTCAACCTTGAGGAACGTCACCGGCGTTTAAATGTGCCCTCACGTTCCTTAGTAAGGCCTGCTTGAGTAGACTGCATGGAATCGTACATCAGGACTGCAAATGTTCTGCCATTCAGAAAGTCTGAGCAGTATCTTGGGGAGGGAGGGAGGGACCAGTTGAGTTTTAAGGAGCATGAAAAAAATGTTACGGAATTGTTTGGTCAAATTAATGATCTTGTCTGAACTCTTTGAAGTCCAGTTAACTGTTCTTTTTTCCCTTGAAACACAACAAGTTTGTTTTTTGCATGCTTCTTGGGAAAGTGCAGTTAGGAAAAGAGATGGAAGGTAAGTTACTGTCTGCTTGCTATTAGTGTCATCTGGATTTAAATGTACGACTTTTGCTTTGCTTCTTTAAGTTCCATTTGTTATGTTGCGGGCATTCAAAGTAAGCGCTTTGTGACTTTCCAGAAGTGCCTGAATGCATCTGGGGGTATACCACTGGGGACAGTGTCCTGAGTGTTTATACTGACTTTTTGCACGCGACCTTTTCCCCTCTCTTTAGAAAATCAATGAGAATTGCAGTGCTTCATCAGCCAGCTCGGCAAGACAACCCCAAAATCCAACAGATTCTGGGCAGTCCAGAAATTGTTCAGCACCAACACCTACAGCAACATCAGATTCCCAAGTAGATGGCAACTGCGTTGCGTCAGATCATGATGCTCAGCCTGCTGCTGCAGGGCCCTGAGATGCGCTCATCTTATCAAATCCAGTGCATGGAATTCTGCTTCTCACCTGGGAAACGCTGGAGTAGGAGCTCAAAAGTAGGACTTCCTTCATCTTAATGATCATAATGTGATGCAGTGCAAGCTTTTAACTATATAAAGAATATTCATATGACTACACAGAGCAACGTGAGCAGGGAAGCCAAAAGTTCGGAATTCTTGAGGGAAGGGATGTGGCCGGATCTAAACGGTAGGAAGAATTCTTGGCTGCTTTGCTAAAGCTGAGTCAAGTGCTGTGAGATGTCTTTGCAATCTGTAGAACAAGGGAGTTCACTCCTCCCTGGTTGAGGCACGGAGTGCCTTACTTCGTTGGATAATTTTCTTTGAATTTGTTCCCGAGAAAAAACGAAAAGACTTTTTAGGAGAGAAACTGGGTTGCCCTGCATAATCTATTAGAAAATACCAGATCCAGTAAATATAGGAACAGCATGAACTGTCTCTGTAAAGATTTCTCAGAAACAGAGTAGCTTTAGAAAGCGTATCTTCATATTATGGTGATGGATTAAGTAAAACACACACATATTCAAAGAATATGTTTTTGAAGCTAATGTTACCTTGTTTGAGATAGAGGTTTAGTTCTGCAAAGCAAAGGTTTTGAACTGGCATTTTAGTGAAACAAAAAAGCTGGAGGGAGGCTTCTGAAGAAGTTACCCTCTGTGCTTGCAGCCCTTCAGTTGGGCATAGGTTGTGTGCGCTTGGGTAATTTTAGATTTGATGTTGTATTGAGACAAGAATCTTTGATCAAGATTGCACAACCTGAGATTGATCACGGTTTCAATGGACACATTGGCTTTTTGTTTTTATTTCATCATCTATACAATGGTTTATTTAATGCTGTGTAGTTACTGTGGTTATTTATTAAGAAAACAGTAAGCTTTAAGTGCCTAGGGAAGGTGGGGGGGTGGGGAGGAATCGCCTAAAAATCTTAACGATTAGGATTTATAGGGGCAAAGTTCTTGATGCAGAAATCGAGTGAGGTTCTCAGGAGGAAGCAAACATAACTAAATTGCAGTATGTTTAGGACACTGCTTTGCCCAATGAGGAGAGACACTGGAAGACTTTGGATTATGTTTTGTTATGCTTTTCAATATTAACTGCAGCCAGCTCACTCGCTGGTGCACAGTGAAAATTGCTGCTGGAGGGAAATGCTTGGGCTCAGGGAGGAGTTGGGGGGTGTAGTCCGGAGAGTGTTCTGGCCCGTTTGCTTATGTTAACAGCTTGTTCCCAGGGGATTCTGAGCACTCGGCTTCTGCAGGACTGAGGGAGTATTGCTCAGCCCTCCGTGGAATCAGATGCAGGTGATGTGTCAGGCCTCCCGCGGGGAAGGTGGGTGCCGTGGGGCTGTCCAGCGATCCAGAGGCACGGCTGGCAGGAGCACAGGGCTGGGGGGGAGAGGAAGATGGCAGCAGCTAAGAAGAAAAGGGGGCGCGCAGTTTTACCCACATTGACATCCAGTTAGCTTGGCTGAGGGCTGTCCCATAGCTGTGCTTCAGCTGTGCTTTTAGAACAACCCATGTTCTGGTGGTGCCTGGGACCAACACCATAGACAATAAAAAGAAACATCGATGACTAGCCACTAGTTACTTTTTTTGCACTTGAACTTAAATGTACTGTACTCACGTAAATCCTCATGACTTGTCTAAGTGTCCTTTAAAATCAGAAATGTATTTATTGTATGTTTGTATAACTTTGGAGAGAATTAAAGACTGAACAGGTGACAGGACAGAAGGATGCTAAAAATCATCTTGAGGCAAACCAACCATTTGTTGCGTTCATGCTGTACGGTGTTACCTCAGCTGCTACTGCATACCACCTGGATTGTGAGGTGAAGAGCTTGTACACTGTGTTTACACTTCAGAATTGTGTATTTGAAATGCCTGCTCTTTTTGGAATTGTATAGTCATTCTGTGTTGCAAAATGGACATGTACACCTGGGTTTTGATATTTGTGAAACTGTAAAAAACTGTGGTAAGAAATATAAAATATCCGTAATATATTTAATAGCATCGATCTGAACTTTTATTACATTTGCTCATATTACAGTGACAACGGCGAACACAATCACTTGGATTGAAAATAATTTGGTGATAATGACCTTTTGCTAGGCTCGCTGGAGGATAGTGCCTGGAGGACAGAGAACCTACAGTCTGGGAACTACTCTTGCACAGTGTTAAAATCTGTTTCATGGTAAAATCTGACTGTAGGCACAAATTCCCTTCTGTGGGGTGAGGGGAACGTAAGGGATGCACACCACTGTACATCATGAAGAGGTTGATATGGAAGTGTGCAGAACATGAATGAAAGTCACAATTAGATTATGTTTGTCCCCTTGCAGTTTTGAGACAGAGGCTGCTAAGTGCAGGTCATGTCAGCTTGTACGGAAATACTTCCAATTTCTGTTTCTGATTAACGAAGTATATTTGCACTATTGCACCTGCCCTATATGGTGGCACATTTGTCTGGAATTTATTTTTATTTTAGGTGTAGGACAGTTCAATTTTTACTATTTCAACTGCTTAACTTGCACGAATACAAAAGCTATGACAGGGAGAGATCTTGGTTTTGTTTTGTTGTTTGCATGTGTGGCTGCCTGGCCTCACTTGCCACCTTACGGAATTTGGCTTTGTGGTGGTTTGGATGTGTTATGAGCAGAGAATGGGAATGGCAAGTTCCTTCAGGGAGATGCATTCATGGTAAAGGGGACACTGTTTTGGAGCAACCACAGCTAATGCACAGTTACCTTTTCTTAAATGTGCAACAAGGGAGAAAACATTGGGACATGAACACACCCAGTTTGTGTGGCTCCTCTTTGTCGTATGTCCTGCTGTTCTGAAGAGAGCAAATGCGTAAGGGGGGAGAACTACATAGTTGAAAAATATTTTTATTTAAAAAAAACTTGAAAGTACGAGACAGTATATCAAGTATGCTGTACCATGAACACAAAATAAGTGTGAAGTTCTAACCCTTTTTTAAACACCACGAAACAGACGATAAATGTAACTCATCCTTCATTAAGGCAGAAAGGTTTTTCTAACAGTTAAGGCAATGGATTAACATCTAGATTCTGCCCCCAGATTTTCTAGCTGAACACTGGACAGTACTTAACAATTGTGTTTCAGTAAACCTATGTAGTATCTATCTATCACAGGAGCACCATGCAAGTAAACTCACTGTTGGCAAAGGGTTCAACAGCAGTTGGTTTGGGTGGGTTTTGTTTACAAAATGTTTCCACTGCTGGAACAGGCTTGGGAGAATTTTTAAGGTCAGTATCAGCTATCCACTAAAGTAGTCATATTTCTCCTATGTTCCTGCGCTTCTGTCTTGGATGTACTTAGTAGTTTCCTGTTCCACTTTGGATAGTATTTGCTGATCCCTGGCAAATGACGGACTTCACAACTACATAAAATGTCAGCTGATTTTTTTTTTTTCCCCCTTGTTGGAGTTAGGTGTACCTGGTATTGTTCTAAATGATTTAGAAAAAGGGACAGTGTCTGAAAAACGTAATTGTCTATTTTTGGAGGGCTTTTATTTTTAACATACTGGTTATGTAAAGTATTACCTTAATATATTAACTGGGCCATTGTACATAAATACATATTATGTACTTATGGAAGGATAATAATCAGTACCTTGGTAAAGACCAGAAATCCAGAAAAAACTGGGGGTTTAAGCTAGGGCAAATCTCATTCTCCCCCTTGGCCTCAATTCACATGGATGGGAGTTTTTAGCTAATTACAAAGTACACTGAAAAAAAATGTGTATTTTAAAATAACATGCAAAACCCATTTAACATTAAGACACCTTTTCTGACTAATTTGTAATAATTTTAAATACTTCATTTTCATGATGGCAACACAGGCAAAAGTAAAAGAAATCTTTAGTCTGCTAAGATCATTGGGGGGAGGGGAGAGGAGTTTCCATCCTTCTCCCGAACTATCAAAGATAATGAGGCTTTCCTCTTTTCACAACAGCTGCTTGCTAGTGACAGACCCCCCCAAGCCAAGCCTGACTCCCAGAGCACATGTGGCAATTTAGCTGCGAATCTGGTAGCAGCAGCCCCTCTTAGAGGTGAATCTTACTGCTAGTGGCCTTCCTCAGCAGAACTCTCTTGCGCTGTTCTTGAATGTTGTGGACTTAACAGTGAGTGTATTTTGGATCACCTGCTTGACAGGGCTTCTCTCTGCTAAGCCGGCTGTAAGTTCTGCATATATATTTATAAATTTACAGCACAAAAGGCTGTTAACTGTCTCTTTACTGTAAAATGGAAGAGTTACTTTTCAAATGAAGCAAAGCTGAAGCAATATAAAGGAGGAAGGACCATGTAAGTCAGGCTTTCAAGTACCAATTCTGAGTCCTGTTTGGTACATAGGAGCTCCTGGCATGTGGTAAGGCAGCACTTCTCAGTGCTGTTACAGGTAACAGATTTTCTCCCTTGTCCTGAGATGGACAATGAGAAACCACGATAGTGCGTGCACTGCTGAGTCACGCTGCATCACTAGGCACATTACAAATAAAAGATCTCCCTTTTAGAGCAAATATAGCCTGGTCTGACATGCCCTGCTGGAAAGCTAACTGCTTCCCACCACTGGCAATTCCTGGTGGGTTTGTAAGATCAGATGGTGACAGAATTAATGGTCTTTTGTCTTCTGCAGTTTGGAAGACAGTAAAAGAAAACAGCAAAGTGAGGACAGAAGAACATAGGGATGGTTTAAAGAACAAAAGGAAATGATCTCTGCAGGTAGATGAACTGAGGGGGCATGATTACTTCCTAGCCTAGGATTGTGTAATAATACATAAGCTGAAAGACATTAGATTGTCTAAATTTCTCTCCTTGTTCTTTTCTTTTCCTCCCCACACATCTCCTGTGCTATGTCTCAAAGAGGGCTGAAGAAGGGGAGGTAGGAGCCAGGTGTCCTTCCCTCCTTGTTTTGCCAGGAATTACTTTTGGCTTTTTATTGAATGAGCAAACTACTGAGAACTCTGAGGACAGTGGAGCTATATGTGCATTAACAGCATCACTCTGGCTCTGCTGACAGCAGCTCCTCCAAGGAGCTGAAATAGCCTCAGCCCTCGTTATCTTTTCTGGGCTGTTGAGTGGCCTGGAATGGACAGCAGCACCCATTGGAAGTAAGGTGACAGTGAAATTGAAAGTAATAGTAAAAATACATTTGGGGGTGGAAATCCTCTCCTAAATCATCTGTCGTCAGAAATGGAGAAGCAGAGGACAGAAGAAAGGTTCAGCAGAGGGACCCGTAGGAGAGGGAAGAAGAATATGTGAAGAAACAAACACATGGAAAAGAACAAAGTGCAGTGTAACAAGCAGAGACCAAGAACAGAACAATGAAGTCAGGCAAAACAGAACAATGAAAAGTCCCTTGAAAAGACAGGCAGGGTTCAGAAGAGTAAGAGGAGCTTGAAACAAATGTGGAGAGGTGAAATGAAGCTAATGGACAGGCAACCTGGCCAGAAAAGCGAACAAACCTTGTTCAACTGTTAACTCTCTATTGATCTTCAGCACTGAAAAGCCTCACAAACAATACTTTATCAGCACACTAACAGCATTATTAAAATTCTTGACAGATTGAGTACTCAGTAGAGTATTAATAATGGCTTCTCCTCCTTCTAGTGCTCAGCACAGAGGACTTGACAATGAAAAGGGCCAAAACAGATTCTCTGTTTTCTAGAGGTAGTATCCTTGGGAAAAAGGCATCCTGGTGGGACAGGCTGCTGCCAGTACTTGCTTTGGAAAGAAGCAAAGTTTACTTCCCCAGTTAAAGTACCAATAGCATAAGAATCCTCTTCACTTGAAGAGTCCCTATGGTTTCCTTCTGTTGCTCTAGTCAGGAAGCATCAGTGATACAGGAAACATTTTTTTTCAAAAATCCTTGTTTGTCCACCAGCAACCACAAGAAATTACCAAGTGTCAGTTCTGTCTGTATCCTTCCTTTCTACGAAGAATATGTTTTTCCCCGCCTTTCTTTCGTTATTTTCCGAAGTTCAGAGCAACTCAGTAGCATATGGAAACAAAATTTGTTTATGTGTTTCCTCTTCATCCTCATCTCCCTCGTGGATGGAATGGGCTGGATCATCTCGCTCAGATTCTGCCCTTGTCTCAAAGAGCTGCTCTTCCAGGAAGAAGCTCCCGATCCCGTATTCCTCATCATGTGCCTTTGTTTCTGCAGGTGAAACGTGGGGAGATCCCAGAACAAAACCTGCAAACCTGCCAGATTTTTAAGGGGAGAAGTGATCAGCTGAGAAATGAAAAAAAAAATACTGTAAATGCGGGGCATACTGCCAATTAAGCAGGGATGTTGAAGGGACATGCCCACAAGCAGTGTGGACAAGAAGCTGCATCTAGGGAGACCTGATCAACAGAGTAAATGGCAATGGATGGCAACAACCCTGAAGATTTGTTTCCCTGCCTCATCTTTTCAGTCTTCAGTCTATTCTGTATGTGTAACTTCTGCTCTTCTGGAGGCCATCTGCAAGGTCTTGTGACTAAGCAAGAAGATCTAACTTCGTTTTCTCATCTTGTCAGTACTCGCGGGGTAATCCAGAACAAGCATTTGTACAGTTGGATAGATGGTACTTTGCTTCTAAAAATAAATTAAAGCTGTAGCATATTTGAGACAAAGGCTGTAAGAATTCAGGTAAGTTGACATGGCTAATGAAAAATGGTGAGCACTTCGCATTCCTACATCGCTGTGCTGTCGCCTTGCTTCTGGTGCTGCATGCACACTCTGGGCAAGCTGAGCTCGAGTCTTGCCAAAGAATTCCTGCTTTTGGTGAACCTAGAGCTGCAGACTACGAATTCTGCAGCTGCTCCAAGTAAATGCCAAACTGGAAGTCTGGCAGAACAAAACACAAACTTAGTACTGTCCCTACGTTTCAATTTGCCACAAATCTGACTTTCAGTGGACAACTACATGGAAGAGGGAGAATGGAGCTGGAGGTTTCTGGCAAATGTGTGGAAGCAGACGGCAGTTCTGACACCTGGGTAAGTGTCGACAGCATCAGAGAAATGTAAGAAAAAGGAAATGCAGCTACATTCTGGAGTTCTGGTAAACTGATCAATAATTTACATTTTAGACTTAACATTTCTGCAAGATGAATGTTGTCACCTCGTTCTGCTTGGAAGCACTGTTAGTCTAAATGGGGAACAGAGTTGGACTGGCTGCATTTTACAGGTTTGGCTTGAGTTGAACTATCTTCTGATGCTTAATGGAAGCTTGGAGGGGTACTCAACTTTAAATCGGACTTCTGTTGGTTCTCCTTTTTATTTCTGTATTTTTATAGTGTTTATATATAGTTTATAGTTTATATGAACCATATTAACTGAGTGGCTAGAAATACATGCGTCTCAGTTGTTTGTTTTGTGCATCTGGCAGTATTTTGTATTACAATACTGCAGTGAGTTTTCACTTTTGATATCTTTCAATCACACTACAGAATGCAAGTAGCTTAGAAAATGATGGTTTAATGATAAAACTATAAAACCTGGCAGAGAGGCTGTGTGCCCATCCAAGGAAGGTGAAGGTTCTGAAACCAGTTTTAACTTTTTATCGATTAAATTCCAAGCTGACGGAGGCTCATTTGAAATTGTGACACTTGGTTCTGTGGTGAGGGCCAAGCCTTTGTGGCTTGCTAACACGTGAAATTCTGCTGCTGATATCTTGAAGTTTTTGTTTTGATGAAAATACACTGCTGTTATGATTAATTTTGTGTTCTGCAGGGTTTTCTGGCTGCACTTACCTGACCCTTCCCAACCCATATTTGTCTTAAGTTTGTCTCTTAAGCTGTACCTGGAGTAGCTCTTCTACCTGTTACACTTCCCAGGTGCAGGCACTGATTTCCTCCTCTGTATTCTTAGTCTTAGATATCAGTTGATACTTCAAGTAATAGGATTCCTTGGCTGTGCAGGCTTGCAGTTGAGGAATTTAAACCAGGTAATATTTGAGCGTGTATCTTCAGCCTGACCCAGTTTTACACAGTGCAAAAGTGTACTGCTCCAAAACTGAAGAAAGGGGCATTTCACTGGGCATTTGACCCAGCAGCCACCTGGGTCACTGTGTAGGAACTTACAGAGGCACTGTAGGAAGCATGTAAGTTTTAAGGAAAGGTGCCATTGCCACGAATAAGCTGTGAAAGCGTGCACACTCTCAGAGTAATTTATGGTCAGGAAGCAACAAACAGGGGGTTTAATACCACCAGCAAGTAATATCCTTGAGAGGTGTGGCTGTGATCTTTAGTGGCATTACTCAAGAAGACAGAGCTACCCGCACATCTGACTGCCTGCAAGAGAAACGCACCTGGAACGGTGCCTGAAGTAGCATTTGGGTCTGCTGCGTAACTGCGTCTGTACATCGTGTTTCCTGCCTTAGAGAAGCCAGATTTTCTTACCTATGTGGGGACTGGAGTTTGGATACAGCTAACCACGATGGGAAGTCTGGGTTCCTGCAGAATGAGCGTAGCTCCTCCAGAGCTCTGATAGTTTCTCTTTCACCTTGTTCCTGATACTCCTCTTCAGTAAGGTATTTAAACAGCAGCTTTTTTGATTTAAAGTGATTCTTAATTTTTCTAGGATGAAATGAAAACAATATTTCTGAAGTCTTCTTGCACGTAATCATTGTCTGTCCTTTTTCTCTACTACCTGCTATTAACATGCATTATTCACTTTTACCCTTTTAAGAGGGCAAGCTACATTCTTGCATTAAAATTTTAGGACAAGGTGTCTAATGTTTCCTAGGCTGTTTACCCTAGGTCTTAACTGAAGTTGTAGAATTCTACAGAATGGTATCTAATGAGCTTCAAATAAGCTTTGGATCAAGTCTTTATTGTGTATGCATGGACTAAAATCTCATAGAATTAAATAGATGGCTGCTTGCTCAGCCATTTTTAGGTGCAATATGCAAAATGTGTCTGTGCAGAGACATGGGCTGAATCAAAACCCAGTCTGCATATGTAACTTCAAAGATAAGCAATGCTCTAAGTCTGTTATGAGTTGTTCATGTTGTTTACTAGATTGCTTCTCTTAAATCTTGCTTTAAATTACAAAACTGAGTAGTCTGAGGCCAAAATGTTTACAATCTGATGTTTTTTTAGCTGCTGCGTAGTGATGTATAATATAATTAGATATCAATTAGAAAGTGTGCCATGTTCTGTTCCCTTCTGTCGACTGCTTTCAATTTAAATGTTGTGATGAGTTAAGATAAGCAAGGGCTGGATGCCCATAAAACTTTCAGCTCTGTATAAAAACACCTGCTCCAACCAGCAGCATTCAACTTTCCTCCTTATTTCCCTGTAAAGAAAGAATGAACCCTAGCCCTTGTTCAGGTCAAATTGTAAAGGTCTTGCTGGCTCAGTGGGATCATTACTGGTCTTAACTAAGTCCCCATTAACAAGGGAAGTGACTCTTTATCAGGGAGGGTGGGGATAGGATGAGGGAGAACTGTTTTAAACTGTTGGAGGAGAGATTTAGATTAGATGGAAGGAAGAAGTCCTTTACTGTGCAGGTGGTGAGGCGCTGGCCCAGGGTGCCCAGAGCAGCTGTGGCTGCCCCCTCCCTGGAAGGGTTCAAGGCCAGGTTGGACGGGGCTGGGAGCACCCTGGGCTGGGGGAAGGGGGCCCTGCCCGGGGCAGGGGGTTGGGACTAGGTGATCTTTAAGGTTCCTTCCAACCTAAACTATTCAATGGTTCTGTATCACAGGCAGTTCCCATTCCACATGCCACAATATAAACGGGGCTCTGGGAATACAAGGGTATGTCTCCACAGTGGTAACAGATTGTTTCCATGAATTTAAGGTAGCCATGTACCTCTAGTCAAATAACCTTGGAAAACTAAAACCAGTGGAAACCATTGGTTTTGTGGACATGGGTTTTTAGTCTCTAAACTCTACACTACCTGACCTACAGGTTACACTAAACTCTACACTACATAACCTAACCACTGTTTTAACATCTGCTTCCTCAGTGATAGTAGACTGTTCTACCCCCTAAGATTCAGTACAAGTTACCTGCAGATTCTCTCACTACACAAGAAACCAAGGCAGTATTGCTGCTGTCTGATCAATCAGCCAAACAGAAATGTTTTCATTACCATATGCTGCAGACTAGAAGGTGCTACATTTGTATTTAAGAGCACAGTCACATTTCTCCATTCTCCATATAACAAAACTTGTGCTTAAAACTGCCAAATGGACAGTAATTAAATTCCTGTGTCTCAGGCTTTAAACCTTTTCTGTCTGTTGCAGCTTTACATCTGGTAAAAATATGAACCTAGTACTAGAAATTCATAAATCATTATTGAAGTATAATGGTTTTTTCATTATCAGCCTCCGGTATTTCCCGGTGATACAGGGTGTTGGACATTCACAAATACATACAAACCTGCCTATGTGACAAGCAGCACCGAGGGGGTAACACAGGCCTTTTGAACAGAGGCTGACTGCTATTACTGCATATGCAACTTGAGGTATGGTGACACCAAAATAAATCAAGACAAAGGCTGTTAATTGTAGAGTCCACGTGAACAAGGTTATGCTCATTTCAGTGGTAAGTGGTCCATGATGATAGCAAGTGGCAAAGCTGGCAGTTCCAACAGCCAGAAAATATCCTGTAGAAACAGAAAAGAAGAACTTGGAGAAAAAGATGCAAACTACTCATATAAACTTCATTAGTTTGGTTCACAAAGCTTGCAACTGCTGTGATGCACAGCCTGCTGTTTCTCGTGTTGTCTTATAGATACCTGCATTATGTTGTATGTTTTATATTTCAAAAGTGTGCAGAGTTCACAAGGTGATCTATGAACAGCCTCCAGCTAATGCTATGAGCCACATGTGAATTCTCCCCATGCCAGAATGTCGAGACAGGTGCCATATCTATAGATTTGTCAGCCCCTGCAGCCACATCCAGTTAACAATTTATGTATCCAGATCCAGCAAAATACAAACCAGCGCAGCTGCCCTTTTGCTGTTACAGGGAAAGCAGGTGGTGGCAAATCAATGAACAAATAATATGGGCAAAGTCTGCTCTTAAAGCTGCTACTGGCCCACTATATCAAACTCCTTATTTAATGATACAATGCAAGCAAATGCTCATCTGAGTGGATTAGGAACCTTTAGAATATTCCAATGCCTGTATCTTAGGAGAAGAAAGTACTCCATGAATGAGTCACCTGATTTTGTTTTCTATGGGCAGGTATTTATCTAACCACTAAATTAAACCAAAATCTGCAGCACATTTTTTTATAATTTTCTTACCCAACAAGTAGTTTCTGTGTTCTGACCACAACCACTGCATATTCTCTTTGAAGCAGTAAATAAAATAGAGGGATGACATCCAGCAGCCACTCATTAAGATCCAGAAGGTACTGTGCTGGAAATTGGAGGGGAAAAAAAAAAAAAAAAAATCCAAGTCAGAATCAGGATCGTTGTGTGCAAGGGAACTCACAGGCAAACCCAGATGTGATATTCAGTAGATCTACAGGGCTTATGACCTGTTAGACTTCCATTGTACAGTGCTCTGCACACTGCAACTAAACAATATCAATTCTAAGTGGAGCAGCTACATTTCTGCATTTTTGCATGGTATAAGCCTATTGCAGTGCATTTCCAATTACCATATCTCCGCATTATTGTGGGAATGTAAGGATTTTGTGAAAGTAAAGGAAAAATTCACATCTGCCTTGCAATGAATTGTCTCTGGTGAACAGAACAGAATCTGTCCCAGTTGCCACTAAAACTACATTTTGATTTTGATTGATTCATAGATTCAAAAGTAAGCTTAACTCCAGTTCGATAAAAATAAATTAATTCAGAATAAATTCTTCTTGCACATCAACAATCTCCTGTAAACTCAGGAGCAAGCTAACTAGAACTTTATTCTGACCTAATTATATTTAATTGAAGCAAGAAATCTTGCAATCATTTCAGTGGGGTTACCTGGCCACAAAAGCAGAGCAAGATCAGAATCTGGCTCTGTACACTTCCTATATTATGATGATTATTGTTATTATTTTGTTTTATAAATGTAGATTTACCCTTGGAATAAACCTTTTAAGTGTCAACAGAACAAAGACTAGCAGAGCAAAAACACCCAGTATCATTCCAGAAAGGTAAAAGAACTTGGTACTCCTGTAAGAGAACAAGAGAGAATATGGTGAGAAGTATAATTTGTAATTGGTTAAGATGCCAACACTTGTAAAAACAGCAGTGATATTCAATAAGAACTTAACACAGCTGTAAGTTAGAATTGTAGTTACATGGTTTACAGGCCTAGTTTAGATATTAAATCCATGTAAGGAAAAATTCCCAGCAGATACTTAAGGTCACTGCACTTGTTACAGGCTAGGAGATTCTGTTGGGTTTTTTTGAAGCTCACGCTATTTCTGATTTCACTGACCTTCTAGTTTCTACTAATTTCATTTTCTTCTATGTACCGATATGGTTCTGTACTGCAAGAAAAGTTTTATTTTTTCAATTTAAAATGTAAAAAAACCTCCACAAACCAACAAGATTTTTTTAATAAGCTTATGCATTTATAAAGTCTGACTTTTTTAATTCAGGGTTAACTCTATAAAACCTATTGCTGCTCTGCTTGTTTTAGAGGTACCTCCTGACAATTAATTTGTGACTCATTCTGCTTTGAAGTCATGGGACACATGTTTTGCTATAACAGTAAGTATCCTCCCTTACACGCTATGCAAAACGTGCATCAAAAGAACGATGGGGAAAGGTTGGCACCAAGGTGGAGGCAGATGATCTCATCCTGAGCATTTCTCGCTGCAGGAGGGCATCGCTGGTAATACCTGCAGCATTATTTAGCATTCAGCTATCATCACTGGTCTACAAAAGGGAGAGAGAATCTCTCTGAATCCACACACATGCTCGCTGAGGATTGTCTTGGTGTCACCCAGTGCAGGAAGCTTGGCTACAAGGACCCTAACACAGCTAAGTGATTAATAGAGTGCAGCACTCCAAGATATGGCACAATCTGCCCAAACACAAACGGTATGAAGAAGTTTTAAACATATGTTCACTTTCCTTATTTCACTTTCCCAGAGAACCACCTCTTTAGCTTAGAAAACAGACCAAAGATGCACGGGCTTTGGGAAAGGTGAAAACCCAGCAGCTATTACTCACCTGCTCAGGCTGTTTGCAAAATGGAACAGAAAAATTCCAGCTACAAACAAAAACAAGAGCTTTCCATCTAGCACTGAAAAAAGGGGGGAGAAAAAAAAGAGAAACAGACTTTAGACTAATTCAATCTGAAATGCTGATTATACAAAATATCAACAGAGAAGTCCCAAGCTGCTTAAAGAAGAGATGGTACATTCACTAACGCTGGAAATACCAATCTATCTGTAATCTAAACTGAAAGCTTTTTTACTTACTTTTTCGTTTCACACTCACAGTGTACAGTTTGGGTTTGAAGGGCTGTATTTTGAAACAAATATCCTCTCCATATTGTTTTATGCTTATGGAAGTTTCTGTAGATGTCTCTGGTTTCCAGAAGATTTGAACAGCACATACAGCAAACTCAAAAACATTTTCTGAATTACGACAGTTGCTTTTTTCTGAAATAGGCTCAAACCTGAACATTTCTCTGCTGTTAACTTCTACCTAAAAACAGAATACACAGAGAAGTATCTCAGAATCACTGGAGTTTTTTGTTTTCTGAACTATATATTGATCCTTTAGGCCTTACAAGGTGATTCAAAGAACTCAACGTCAGCAAAGTTCTATGGAGGGGACTCAATCCATCCAAAAGCTCAGTGGGTTTGGTTTTACCATGACACTTGCCCATGCACAAGTTTCTAACAAAACCAGGAATATTTGACTGACCAGTTTGTGGATGTTCATACGCTTCCCCATTCCTCTCCTGAACCATAAGAAATGGGACTTGCTTTTCTTGTAGTTAACAATGCAATCTTCATGTTGGAGACAGAAGAGGGATAAGGAAAATGAAAGATATTATAACCAGAAATTTAAATACAAGCATATTCCTGTTGAGTATTTTGGGGTTTCTTGCTAGTTCCTAGCAGCCTCCCCCACAAAACTTGTAAAAGATCTTGTTGATCTTTTGAGATGGGATGATCTTCTTGGAGATCATGATTCATTGTGAGCTCTTGATCAGAGCCTATTAGACAACAGACCCATCTACAAAAAAAGTGATGCAACAGGTAATAAAACAGGATTGTACTGGGAGAAGAGACAACACGTCAGCAAGCAATTTGTTGTGGGAAAAAAAATCTGAACTTCTTGCTTTTAAGCATTTACTCCAGGAATGCTTGTGTGACTGCTGGATGGTTTTACCGCCTGAAGTCTGACTGTTCATGGAAACACCTGCAGCGTGTTCCTGAGGAAAACAGTCCTGGGAACAGACAAAGAGATGTGCCACTTCTGATATTCAAGAGCAAATTCCTCCAACAGAGATGAAGTTAAACTGTTTCCTTCCCTTGTCCAGAGACAAACTTCCCAGGAATAAAAAAAAAAAGGGGGGAACCACACAGATAGTCAGCTTCTGCCTTTAGTTATTATTACTTCCACTGTTGAGGGATTTTCATATTGTTTTGAGCTAATCTCTAAACATGTTTGTTGTAAGATGATCCTCTGTTACTCAGAAGAACAGAAACGCACTGCTACTGCTGTTTTTTCATGAGTCACAATCTACTGCTTCCCATACTGTGGCCTGGTATGCTACAGCGAGTGAATGAGAACTGCATTTTATCCTCAAATCTAAAAGTTTTATAAAGACATTTGGTGATAACCAAAAACATTTGTTGCAGAGGTTAGCAGTGGACCATCAGTAGAAAAGGTGTGCAACAAAATAATATGCAACACTAAGTTAATGATTGTGTGGCATCATACTGTAAAGCCTGGCTGACATCCTCCTAATAAAGAGACCAAACCTCACTCCATCAGAAGTGGAGGATCACAGTGCTACATTTTTATCACGGTCCTGCCTATACACTGTTCAAACTACTAATTACACAGAGATACTGCTTTGATCTTGCTAACTGATGATGCACTTCACTGGCAGAAGTTCACGTGAAATGTACTGCGTGTCTGAATGATTCCCAAAATGGCCTCTTACCTGAAGAGTCGACCAAACGTACTGTAAGTAAATGGTTCTGTTTTGCACATAGCAATAACAGTTTTCATCCTGTTTCTGGATGACATCCATTTCCTGCAAAAAGCTACAGTTTCTACCTGGGGGAGGGGCAGAAAAGTTAATTTTAAGCATGTATCAAATACAAATGTATAATTTTCCTCCATTTCATTATTATCTATGCTGAAGGAATCACAAGCAATTTGTAGATAATCAAACATGAAAACTATGCTGCAGAGTAGCATGTTCAATATGATTTAGATGAATATTCAAGTTAGACTTCTAATCATGCCATTTAGGCTCCAGAGTAAACTGCAACACCTTTGAGGAAAAAAAAAAAAAAAATCTAGGGTGGTATTTTAAAAAAATGCAATCCATAAAAGCTTGGCTTTGGTATCAGTGTTTTGATGGCACTGGAGTAGGGCCTCTGGGCCAAATTCATTGCTGGCACGAGTGGGTGTAACTCCACTGGAGTCGATGCTTATACCAATGGTGAATGAAACTGTGGGAGTCTGAGCAGGTAAACAGGCTTGCATATTAAAATAGTCATTTAGCACATGACACAGCTGCTGATCGCAGAAATCATACTCCTCTCCCTTGGAAATGTTTCTAATGTTAAATAACACAACTCTTCTTTTTAAAACAAATTTTCCGGACATAGTCCGGCCATGATATGTAGTAAGGCAACTTGCACCGATAGCTTTAATTAGGGATGCTAATAGGTCTAACTCTCCTGAAACGCTAGTGAGCCCCTAAGATCTTCAGAATTACATTGCTCTTTTAGGCAGAAATGCACCTAAAAGATGTATGGAGCAAACTCTGAAGAACAACATACATTCCAATCTATATACATGTGTAAAATATACCCTACAGTGCATTACTGCAGTGTTCCAGGAACATAATTAAAGAGAAGAATAAAGGAAATAATTACAGATCTGAGCAGAGGGAATCATCTGGCTCACTGAATAGAAAATGTAGGTCTACGCCAAGCTCAGTAATAACTGCTAAAACACTGTCATACTCTCAGAACAGCATAATGAATATGTGCAAAAGTCTTAATCTGGACAAGGAGATGCTGTGTGCAGGTAAAAACCTGCCCTGTCTTTATAAGGAAGCTGAATTTGGGCTAAATTACTTTCTAACCAATTTAATTAAGCCAATGAAAAATATCTGTGTGGATGTTCTTACTTAAGTTTATTAAGTCATTCCAGAATTAAAGTGGCCACAGATGATCCTGCTAAAGTGGTTTGAACTTAAAATTTGGGCATTTTTATTGTGAAAAATTAACCATCTGATTAATTTTCATCCACGGCAAATCCAGCAGGAGGGAGCACAACCCTTGCAACAAGGGCTGGCTGTACCTCTTGACAGGTGCTTCCATAAAAGTCATCAGATGAGGTTGCAAAAGGATTCATCTCTGAAGCTTTGCTGACTGCTGCAGCAAGCAGGCGAGGCTGGGCACTACCCAGGGCTAAAACCGAGATAATCCAGTGCTAGGAAATGGCAGTACCCTAGCAGGACCAAAAATGCAGCCGCGAGTGCCTGCACCTTCCCCACAGGGTGTATTATGACTTTCTGCCACTATGGATAAACGATCTGTCCACGCTAGACGTAACATGCTCCATATACAAATATTTTCTTACACATACACCCTCTTATTTTAAGGCATTTTCTTGAGAAAAAATAATTTGCTTCAAACATGGTATCAGCACCATACAGTGAAACAATCACGTTTTGAAACGGAAAGATGCTTCTGAACAGGTAACGGAGACGGAGGAAGATTCTGGCTACGTTGAGGACACAGAGAGAGCAGCTCTCAGGTTTTGAGATTACAACCAGTGGAGGGAATTGGCATCTGATGCAGAATCCGGTGAATGGCCAAGACTCGGGAACATCAAGGCAAGGGGGGAAGTAGCTTCTTTTGATACTTATCACAACTAATAACTTTTAGGGCTTTCACTGCTTTTGTTAATAAAAAGACCTGTTCTGCACCCCCTTGCCCTGAACCGAGCTAATGAGAAAGCCAGCGGGTCTAACAGAGGCCCCCAGCCCGTTCCCCATGGCCTTCCCACCCCCGCCTCTGGCTCGCTCTCCATGCGCCTGGGGCCGCCTTGATCACCCGAGTTCAGGCAGGCCACCCGGTCCCACGCAGCATATCCTGGTGGAAACCGCACTGATAGCGGGCCGAGCAGCAGCAAAACAGCAAGGGCTGTTTTCAGGGAGCGGGTCTGGCCCCTGAAGCGGCTTTAGCTGCCGGGCAGGGCCTTTCCGCAGGGCAGCGCCATTTTGGGCCGAAGCAGGAGGCGCGCTGGGGGCTGAGGGGAACCGGGGGCAGGAGAGCGCATCCCTCCCCGCTCCCTGTTCCCAAGGAGATGGGGCGTGCTAAGCAAACCCATCCAGCCCTTCCTCAGCCCGGGCAGAGAGGAGGGACCCCCCCCTCCCCACCCCGGACCGCCGCCCCGCCCGCGGCCTGCCCTGCCCCACGCACCCCTGCGGGGCGGAGGGGAAGGCCGGTACCTGCTGCCGGCGCCTCCCCGCTGCCCGCCGCCGCCCCGGCCAGCGCCAGGAGGAGCAGCCGCAGCCCCAGCCCCAGCCGGGCCCCTGGGCGCCGGCAGCGGCGGGGCGGCCGCGCCGGACTCATGGGGCGGCCGCCGGTCTCCGGTGGCGGCGAGGGCGAGGGCGGGCCCCGGCGGGGGGAAGGGGCGGTGCGGCCCCCGCCGCGCTGCGCGGGCGGGTCGGGGCGGCCGGGGCGGGGACTCGTCCCGCTTCATCCTCAGTGCTTGTGAGGGGGGCACGGCGGGGGCAGCGGCCTGTCCGGCGCCTCTGAGGGCGGCGAGGCACCTTTTGTGGCGTGGGGTATGCTGGCTGTTGTTTCTCTTCCGTGCTGTTGAGGTAAGGGTGTGTGCGTGGAAGGACAGAGACAAATCGTGAATGCAACAGCACAGCAAAAGCGTTTCCTGGGACTGCGGTCCCATCTCCGCCTAGCTGACCGAAAACTCCGACTGCTTTTACCAAGGTACAAATTGGTCCCAAAACAAACGTTCAGGCGAAGGGCTTGCAAACACTTCCAAAACTCAGCCAAGACAGCTGCCCCAACCAAACAGGAGAGTTAATGTTTGCCTCTGTATGTACCCCATTCCAGGGGCCCCTGTCCCCCCCCAGCCCGAGGGAAAGGCCAAGCCAGGTCAGCAGCGTGCCGGCAGCCAGCGCGTGTCTGTCGGGCCCTCTGCTCGCCCAGAGGAATTCCCTGAATGAAATGGGATTAGATGCTTTGGTGGAGGTGAACGTCCACAGCTTTTCTCGTGTCTCCTAGGCAGCCAGAAGAAGAGCCTGGAGCAGGACGCGCCGATGCCCCGTCAGCGCTGTGAAGACACCAGCCAGGTCCAACTCAGCCCAGTCCCCGCTTGCTCGCTGCAGTCGTTTTAGATCGGTTGTGAGTCACAGCCAGCAGTCAGGGGTGGAAAGGGCTGGAGCTTTTTTCCTATTCTATGAAAATCAATAAACACCATTTTAACAAAGCATTCTGGTATCACCAACATCTATTTTTATACCGAGCCCTACACTTGGCCTTTCCAACCTGGTTGCTTTGCTACAATGCATTCCTTTCCTTGTTCTTAAAACCATGCTGTTTCTCTGCGTGAAGGTTGCTTTTGGTTTTATTTTTGATTGTTCAGGGCTGGATCCAATTCCTGGGGGTGCCAGGATGGGCTTTTTTAACACCTGAAGGGGGCTGCCCACTGCCTCGCACCTTGTCTCGGCACTTACATCTGTGGGGAGTGGGTGGTGCGGGGCTGCGGCTCTCCTCGCCTCACCTCCTACACCCGCTCCGCGCTGGCTGGGCTTGCATGTAGCTGTGGATTATTCCTTGCAAGTACTGAGGAAGTGGAGAACAAGGGCAAAAATAGTTGGGATTTGATAGGGTGTGCAACATCTGACAAACTTCAGTCTCTAAAGGAAGCAGCGATTGATGTGTATCTCTATTTGTCTTTATATAACTTTTCAGGCTCTTTCTCTAGCAAATGTGGTGAAGAAATAAATGCTGGATTTTGTGTTTATCTGCTTCCCTAATAAACCCATAGAAATATGTTACCTCTCAGTTGTGTGTCTAAACAGCAAGGGACAATCATAGCCAAGTTATTAGAGGAATCCCTTTCACATTTTCAATTTGCAATATTTTTTTGGTTGTGTTAACCTTCTTGACTATTTTTCCTGGGAAAGGAGACACTCCACATTCAGTTCTTGCTTGTATTTTCATTCCTAGAGCTCTTTGCACTTCACCGCTAATTAACTTTCAATAACTGTCGTAGGGTTACAGTCAGTCAGCATGAATCAGACAGAAAATGTAGCTTTAGGGGACCGCACTCTGTCAAAACCGATTAGAAACCTTTGCTTGATTTCCAAGGAGAATGTACTTGCTCAAGCAGGATACAGCAGCTATTAGGCAGCGTTCTACCACAGTAAGAAATCCTTAATAAAAGAGATTCAGTGCTTTTGCTACAGCCTTCCTTCCAGGGTGGCTCTGAGTAATTATGCGGCGTTTTTCCTTGCTTCCCATTTGTTTGTTTGACTTCCTGATTGGTGGTGTTGCTTAGGCAAAAGCTTGGATTCCAAGCTTAAAGGTGGTACTTTTAACTGTTTGCTCACAAACACAGTTGGAAACGAGGGAGAAGGGGGAGGTTGCTTACAGGTACAGCTCAGTGCCTGGAAGCTCTGCCATTCCCAGGTCTCATAAACTGGGGAAAGTTGGGTGGGACCAGCTTTTGGCTGGGAGAGCTCGGGGGAAGACCTGGATGTGGCGGGCAGCGATGCTGGCAGTACCGGGAACGGGGTCATGTTCCTGGGATGCAGCACGCAGGGCTCTCAAGCTCCACGCTTTCAACAAGTTGCTGCTCTAGGCATTGGGAGGGTGGCAGGTGAGCAGTGCAGAGCCACGTCCCCGGCGTGCACCTTCCTCTCAGGCTTTTGCAGCTCTGGGTTATGTCGCCCAACGTGCTCTGAGCCCTGAAGCGCTCCTTAATGCCACCCGCCATGCCCTTGTCTAGCTGCTTAAAAGCTGACTGCAATGTTAGACATAATACCAAATCCTCTTTGTGCTGCTGACTCCCTTCTCTTCCACAAAGGCCTCAGCTCCTCACTGCTGATGATTTATTTTGCCTGTGCAGACACAGAAATAATCTACAGCTCTGTGAGGCACTGATGGGGAGGGAGGTCCATCCTCTGCACTCCTCAGAGCCTTGCCTACCTTGGGCTCTAGCGCTACTGGGGACAGTCCCTCTCCCTGCAGCATCTGCAGGACCCAAGCTGGGGACAAGGCACCCAGGGTCCCAGTTCCCACCCTGCAAGGTGATGCTCATTACTTAGTTGCAGCCTACTGTTTACTCTCTAACTAGAGCTAATAGAGGCTTTTGATGTCCAGGTGTGCCATTAAAATCTCAACGCATGCTCTGGGTGACTAAGGATGCTTCCTCTGATTTAAGCTCCAACCCCCCTTTGCTTTCCCTTCCCTCTCCTTACGTCAGCAGTGGGTATAATTTGTTTGCAGAGTTGCAGGGTATTTTATCTTTCTTTGGCCAGCCTCAAGTGGATGGGGGTTTGCTGAAGCCACGGCATTTTTGCTTTCTTAAAGCTGGCATGTGGGTGTTGGATTGTGTCATTCGTAGGAGGTGAACGTCAAAGGAAATGGAATCAACTGCTGGAGGAGGTTTGTAAGCCAGGTACTTAATATTTGGTTTCCTGGAAAAGCAAGAAAAAAATAGGCAAAACCGGCAGCCTTTTTGTCTTTAGTTTTCCTATGTAATCAGAATAACACAATACCTATACGTACTTAAGCATAGTTTGTTGGGGGGTTTTTTGCCTTGCTTTATTCAGGATGGAGCACTACTGTATTTCCCTTTAAATAGCTTCACATGTTTTGGTGGATTCTGTTGAATGTTTATTCCATCAATACAAATAATTCGTGTTCCATAAGTGCCCTTGCAAATAATGCGATTTATTATCAGGTACATTATGTTGTCTTTTTATTTGATGTAAAATGGTCTCTTAGAGTTAAAATTAGACAGAAGAGCCATTTGAGATTATTTTGTTCATCTCCAACTGTTTTTTCAGGAGTGCATTAGTCTGAAGTATTTCATGGGCAAAATACTGAGTTATTTTGGGGGGAGAAAATTGATCTACAAAAGAAAAGTATAGCTACTTATTTTTCCAGTCGTTTTATGGTAATCGCTATTTTATTTGACGTGTATAGATACTGAGCTAGATACTGCTCTACTAAGAATATTTCTTCTAAACTGCTCTAGGTAGTAGATAGCTTTTGCAGCCCTCAGTCAGGCTAAGCTTAAAAATGAACATTTTAAAAAGAAATTTAAAAATTTTAAAAGAAATTTATTTTTCTCTTAAAGGTTACCTATGTCCTATCCTATAGATTAGACAAAAGGGCCATATTTTTTCATTATGCTGTTTTTTCTTAAACGTTTACCTGTTTAATCTAACTGCAAGATGCTTATTCTAGCTGTCCATGCTTTTGAAAATCCATGTGCTATAGCACGTTTTCCCATTGTATCACTGGCGGGGGTCAGGTGTGTCTGAGGCGAGTGCAAGCTGAGTATTTTTAGATAAACCCATCTGAGTAAAGCAGCTTTTTTCCTTCTTGTATGGCTTCTGATTTATGCAGCTTTCGTGGCATTTAACCCTATGCTCATTTTCCCATTGCTGTCAGAGAGACCTGTAGGTCAGGAGGAAGGAAAGCTCAGTCAGCCGACAGTGAGGAGTTCATGAGAGGACTTGTCTGCAGTTGCTGGAAACACAGTCCCTCCTTCTGACTTCAGCAAAGTATTCTGGTGTAAATTCATTGATCTCCTTGATATTATTGCTGATTTACACAACGTTAAGCAGTAAGCAAGTAAGCACAACAGTAAGTTAAGTAGCAGTGGGCCTCAAATATTTATCTGCTTTATTTTTAGCATGCTAGTTGCAGCTATTTATATAGCCAGGAAGCAGTGATACAAACTTGACTGGATTCCTCATTTGATTTGAATCTGCAATAGAGAGGTAGTGGGGGTTTTTTGACCACAAGCTCTTCTTCATTATGTCAAATTTGCTCTAATTAATATGTTATGGACTTAATTTTTCAAGGGCTTCTTAACCCCCACTTTTAAGCACAAGGGATCTTGTTACTTATTTAAAGAAGCATCGATGCAGCCTAAGAGCAGCTGTGAGATTGCCCTGTGGTGCTGTGCAGGCACTAATACCTTACGTGGATTTATCTGTGGGAAAAGGTCCCAAAATTGTGAGGAGGCTCCACGGTAGAGCGAACAATGTGAAAGGAGCCAGTAGTCTTTAATAACCTCTAGTACAGTGAAAAGAAAAAGCACATTTATGGTTGGTTATATGCTTACTAATAAAGTCCTAGAGTAAAATATATTCTTCTCTGAGAGGCTTTTGCTGGATGTAGGACAGGCAGATGGTGGTACTGGTGTGAGTGAGGCCCTGTCTGTGCCAGTGTGGCGGGGAAGGACATTCCCTCTGAAAAGACGTGCGGAGGGTAGACTGGGCTGATGGATACAGATGCTGGAAAATAGCATGTGGTTATACGTGCTGGCTCAGAAATTGGCTACTGGTTTATATGCAGTTTAGCTTACTAGTTAGAAAAGTCTGTTGCTTCCTTTTGATAACAGATGGTCTGTGGTAACTAGATCGGTGATCCTAGCCCGGTCTTTAGT